TTTTCTTTCATTTTTGCTTCCTCGACTGCTACCTCTGCAGCCCTTCACACGCTTGTACACCTCCGTGCCTACAAGTACTGAAGAAAGAGCTCGTTAGTAGGAGGAGTATCAGCACGTCAGACCTATGACATACCCTCGGATGCAAGCATTGACACTGTGTCTAATGCTGGCTGGAAACAATGATTCACTGTCCTCATCAACTAAGGCTGTTGATTAGTCACAGATAGAAAAATGCAGACTTGAATGCATAGATAGCATGGATTAGATTTTCTAGTACTACTGAGCTCAGGAGACGAAGGGTAGATTTGGTTATTACATTTACGAGGTGAAGGCAAGCAACATCACGTGTTTATGTTGGTCATCCAGCTAGTTTTACAATCGCCTTATGTGAGTCTATGACCCCTTTGTCACTGTTTAAGAGTATAGTAAATGCTTACAAGTACTGTAATAAAGTAAACGATTACTACATGACTACACTATGTCAAAATAGAGGACTTCTAGCCACTGCCTTCAACACTGCCGTTGCTTTGAGCGTAGGATGCGCGGGAGTAGGCGGCACGAAGAAGAGCTTCACTGTATGCCTTTTCCACAGAATTCTTGTCGAATTCTAACACAAACGTGCTGGGCAAGTGAAGCGTTTGGCGTACTTCTTTGACACGTTCCTCTAAATCCTTGTTTATTCTGCCTGTGTTAAAGAGGAATGGCGTCTATTGTAAATGGCAGAAGTAAGCCGTCAATATATCAAAATAATATTATTTATCACATACCGGACCGTAATGGCCAACATCACACCAGGTATCAGGTTTATCTGGGCTCGGAACTCGCCAGTGCATGTGGAAAGCAACACCTATGTGGCCAATGTATGTACCTGACGTTGGACCAGATCCAGAGAACATGAAATCCTCGTGATCGACCATTTGTAAGCTGCTGAATTCTGGTACACTCAACCGTTTCGTGTGTTGTGCCTTGGTCCGTTTGTGTGCCATACCAGGAATCGGCTTTTCAACCACCACCAAGGACAGGAACAGCTGGGCCATGTTGTAATCTTGAAACCACTGATCAGCATGCTCCTCAGAGACTTTGTAGTTGTATGTATTATCTCTGGTGGCAACATAGGTGATTTCAAACACAATCGCAGGCCGAAAGTCGACTGATATGACAGCACCAAAGCTGTTGTCATAGTTACTAGAGCCTTTTCCGAACAAATTTAGAGATGTCTCCAACTAATATAGCTGTTAGAATAACGAGCACAGTGTAGGCTAGAAACACATACGCTAATGGTCCTCGTTCCAGCTGTAATGTGACCGAATCGATAGTTATTGTCCAATCGATGGAGAGCTGAGAAACAATGATAGACAACAAACGACTGGTACTCTGCACTCAGGGACTTCAACCTATCGCAGTCCATGTCAACCTCGTCCTTCGGAAGGCTTTCGACAGTCGAGGCTCGGCAGATATAAACCATCTGGCTGGTCCCATCAGTCCTTGTAATCACCTAATATGCTATGGGAAATTCGTTTACACCGGATCAAAGAGACAACGAACCTCCTTGGAATCGATAACGTCCTTTAATTCAGCAGCCCGCAATTTATCGAATAGGGCATAGGGCATTGTGAAGTACTAGATCCAGTAGTCAGTATTAGCAGGATTGAGTAGGCTCGAAACACTCACAGTGATGACACGATCCTTGAAATCATCCAGCGTTTTCTGAAGTTGACCGGAGACAGCTAATAGAAAGCAACGTTAGATCTGCTAAGGGAACAGGATGAAGATAATCTACACGTACTGGACAGGGCACTATGAGCCTTTTCACCTGTTCCAGAATGAGAAGGCCCTATCAGGGATGTGGCTGCGGTTTGAGACGAGGACGTCCACTCGTTGGTGGCAGCAGAGGAGTCACTTCCATCGTCAGAAGGACTGTGTGGTGCTGTTGATAAATCAGAGGGAGTCGCATTCTCAATCAATGTATTCATGGTAGAAGAATAAACAGTACAATGCCACAGAATGGACAAGAATGAGGTGTTTGCAGGGGAAGCTTGACGAAAAGGGGTGCCACATATCTATGCCGTTATAAGGTTGGGAAAATATAAACTCAACCAACTGTGACGCGGCAGTACTAGCCTCTTTTGGGCTATACAATGATGGACGAAATAACTTCCTCAAATAACCTCAAATGAATATTTGGGCAACATAGAATTGTAGAGGACATCTGTAGCTACAAATGTATGTTTTTATTTTTCAAAAATATTAAGTACAAATTTTTTTATTTCCTAAGAAAACTTTTTTTGTTAAAATGGTCTAAAATTGCATTTCTATAAGTTTGAGCACTACTTGAAAATTTTCGACCCAGATTTTTGCCGCTTATATAATACAAACATTATGTAATTGTTTTAATAATAATACATTTGTCAGCATTTTCTAAAGTAATTTTTTCCAAACACTTAGAAAGTTGAACAAACACTATATAACTGTTTAAAAACTAACTTTAGACATTAATAATTGTATCTGAATAAGTTTTGAACTTGCTAGAGCTAATAAAACAAAGTCAATTTTTTCTGACCTAGAAATTTTTGCTGTAGGGTCCTTCCAAAAGTAGTATGTGGCTGTGCTGTGACTGATGTAACAGGTTGGTTGAGTTCATGTTTTCCCAACCTTATAAGTGTATGTGTGTAAACCTTCCAGAAATACTCCTTCCTTTCTTAGCTGTATTGTTACTACAGAAGGATTATGTTAAGATGTGTTATGTGAAATTATGTGAGAGTTACATATAATCTAATATGTATTGATTTAGGTTTGTAGCTTAATGTTGATCACTTTTATGTGCCTTGTTTATACTAAGGTACTTGCCTGTATAGTTACTTAAAGCTGTATAAAAACTGTTTCTAACTATATACAGTTTTTGTACACATGTACTGATTTTACAATAGTACAACTATAGTATAGTAGTGTTAGATGACTCTAGAAGAAAACCCTTGCCTGGATTCATTAATGTTTCTGTACTTTTATTACAAATCTCCTTTCTCTATTATAAAGTCTAGAAATGCACACATATGTGCCCCTGTCTTTTGACAGTACTAGAGTACTAGCCAAAATAAATATATCTTATTATGACCTATTAAATGACTAAGATGCCTAGGAAACCTGAGTACTCTGAAGAAGATTACTATCTTAGTTACTAATACTCCTGGTTCCTTAGTTTCACAATACTACAATACTATACTAATAAAAGTAAGTACTTTACCTACTCATAGACTGTAGTGTGACTAATACTACTCTCACTTTCCAAGTTCACAGAAGTATTAGGTAATGTTTACTATATAGTATAGACTTGTAGAGTAGTACTTTTGCTATAACAGACAGGCTGCTTCTTAATTAATGTATTTTAGAGTACTCATAATGTTCTAAGAGTTATTAGCTTTCCTTTACTACTTAAACTTAAAGGTCTATCTGGTAGGATACTGTTCATCCTTATTTTATTTCCAAATATCACAATCCTTCTATTAGTAATCTAGAGAATTCTTGCCTGTTGTGTATTGAATATTATGTAAATATACAGAAGTCTAGTACAATACTTGCTTCCCTCCTGTAAAGCATCTCTACCATAATATATAAATGTTCTTTAACTAATGTATTTCAAAAGAAATTTATCCTTTACTTATATACACAATCAAGCCTCTCTTACTATGCCTAGACAAACAATACAATGCCTCTCTTATTACATGAGAGAATTAGGGACATTATTACTAACACATTCTGTAACACTCTCAACTCTATTGTCTCTAGAGGATACAGTGTATCTAACATTATTACTAACAGGAAAATTTACTAAGTTAGTCTTGAATGTCTCCTTTTTGTTTATTACTATATACTATAGCTTATACATTTGTTAGCTAGACTATAATGTATTGTTTGTCATTCCCTACCAGCCAGTTTACAACCCTAGACTGGACAAGTGTAAATACAATTAGATTCCAGACTTAGTACTATCTGTTAACAGTCATCCAAGATTCATTGTCAAGATTGTAACTATACAAAGTAAAGCTTCCTTAGACAAACAGAGCCTTAATTAGTTTTGACTGTACACTCTTAATGTATTAATATCTATTAATACTACAGAGTTTGTCATGTTTTTATTCTACAATTTCCCTGTTACTAATACTACACTCCCTGAACTGACAATCAGAGAGTTTGTAGAAACTCAAGCACATATAATAAGTATGACAGTATAGAATGTTGAAGGGAACTTCTGTGCTTTTGTTTTACCTATAAGTCTTAAGATAAATATATTTTAGTACAAGTATAATAATAATGGAAGAATTCAAATAAGAAGTACTAGCCTAGTATGTCTTATTTAAATTGCTTGTAAACACTATACTAACAGAACAAGAGTATGTCTCAGATAATATAAACTACATTACAAGTAATGACAAGTAATAATAAAATACATTCTATCATACATTCTACATCTGAGACATACCTATGTAGTATATATAGACTAACTAATTAATGGACAATAAAGTAAAGCTAGAGAGTAAGCTAAGTCTACTATCCCCCCTCTTTGTGTAATCCCTCTAAGCCTCTTACATAACCTTCTAACAGTTAGACACAAGGCTCATAACCTGTTTGGTGAGGAATCATACTAATAGCTCAAGGGGTAACACACAAAGGTAACAATAATATTGTATAAGGTCAGAATAACCTTATATATATATACTCTATACTAGGGATGATACACAATATATACATATACAGTGAAACCTGTCATTAAGCATGACCTACTGTGGACAAGTGAGGCCATGCTTAATAAGAGGTTATGCTTGTTGACAGTAGCTTAAGTAAAGTAATAAAATTTCCTTATTTGTAGTACATAACTCAATAATACATTGTCTACTTAAAAAATGACCAAATATTAGTCTGTTCAAGAGAACTATTTATTTTCTTGCATAGGTTTCTTGTAAGCTTTGGAAAAAGTGCTCTAGCCTCAGTAAACTCAGCACCAATCTTACTCTGAAAGAGCACATTGAGCTTTGAAAGCAATTGGACAGCCTCTGTATAGCTTTTGATGCTTCAACTTTGGTGCTTTACCATGGGCAGGATCCTTTGGTAGAGATGTATCATTGACTGTACTTGTTTGTGGATGAATACTAGTGGAAGCATGGATATCTGGAAGCAGAGCTGAGAGATTGACAGGGGAAGCTTCTCTAGAATAAGTGAAAACAATTTCACTAGCATCCTTGAGTGTTCCATCTGGGTTCTGTGCACATCCAAGCTCCTCAGACATGATGATCAATAAGTTTTAATAGTGGTTTTCATTACATTATGCATTTATTTTACAAAATGGAGGTGGCCTGTACAAAAAGTGGCTCTCTCTGGGTCAAGATCTGTACTGTTACATGACCCAAAATTTCCTTTAATTAAGCATATTCTTGATCTCACACCTTAATGCTTAATACTTAATGCCCTTTATGCTTAATATACCTCTATTTTCCTACCTACCAACTTGGTGGATCAAATTTTTCATACTTATTGAGAGGAAATGCTAAACTACAAGTATGCTTATTAACAGGTTTCACTGTATACACATATCTTAGAAAACACTAAAACAGTAGTCTTAACAGTTTATGAGCAGACTGTACACATAACAATGTTAACAATTTCTGTAATATACTCATGTTATCCTTTGTTAATCTGTATACTATGTATATGTCTAGATTTGGTCACTCACAGAGTAGAAAACCTATAATTGTAGGTGCAGACTTTTTGTATAATACTTTCCTCTGAGCAAGCATACTTATAGACCTTGCTTTATATGATCTTTATAAGGAAGTTGTATAGTATAAAGTAGTACAGAAACTAGTAAACTCATTAATTGAATGAGTCAGAACAACTGGATGTTAAATCAGTTGACAATAACAGTAGTTATGTAAAAGTATTATACTGTACAACAGTTGGAGATTGAAACCAACAATCACTCTTCTACAATTATCTCAACAGACCTTATTAACTAACAATTAACCTAGGTATTCAATATTGACCTTAATGTGCTCCAGAATATCTGTCTAGAGAATAATTGTGTGTAGAATAGTATTAGTTAAGTTAGGACTCATTACTCATGAGTCATGGATTTATATATGTTTAATGTTCTTATGTGATTGAATAGCTAAAGTAGCTATAAAAAATAAAGAGTATAATATACTTTTCTTAATAACTAATAGATATAAGTACTAGTGTACATGTAGATTATCTAGGGTCATATTACCTTAGTACTATACTCCTAAATCCCCTTCCAGAGACAAAAACTCTATTTCCTTAATAGTACACACTCTATAGCTTGTTCTCTCATTTAAACTGTATTTTACACCCTTCTTTATATGAATCAGTATTGTACATTCTAGAAGAAAAAGGTATAAAGTCTCTCTGAATTGTCCTAGTACTCTATCCAGGACCTGGAACCTTAGAGTTATTCTGTTACTAGTAGGACACAAACATTTATCAGTATATATAGTGTGGACTAGGTGTCAAGCCAAGCTTAACATTGCACCCTTTTGGTGTAGAGATTCTATACATATTCTATTGTATATGGTAATTCCTTACATATTCCTCACAAGGTAAAAAATGATCTGAGTAATGCTAACAGTTGTTACTCTGAACAATGTGTATTAGAAAACATCTCTCATAATATATATACATATATATGTACTCACACAGTAAAGGAGACAGCTTGATCCTGAATAAGTACTGTTACAAGTATAAATTGTTAAAGCCAACCAAAGTTCTCCAGTACTCTGCTACTTTGTATATAACTAACACAATCATCATAAATGTAAAGGCCAATAGAAATGACCTGAAAATGGCTAGTAGATATTAATATTATAAAATAAATAACAAACAAGTCTAGAACTGTAAGACAGAGGGATAATGTTCATGCAGAGGTTAGGATCAATAAGAACACTCTCAATTTCAAAATGCACCTATTCATCTTCTCCCACCCTAACTTCCGCCTTATCTTTCAGGTACATGTAATTGGAAATGGGTGACAAGCTTCAAGAAGGTGGACGACCCTGAGTCTCTGACGTGGGGTGTAAACATACACTAATTTGATATTTTCTTCCTTACCTAAGTCTATGTGCATGCAAATTTAAAGTGGAGATGTGGAGATGAGCAAAGTGTACAGAGTGTTGTGCTTTGAAAACCTATCGAACTCCTCGGACGTGATAACTTGAAGTAAAGCTGTTCAGTATTCTCTTGTGCCTAGGTCTAATCTAGCTGTCGAATCAAGTGGTATGCGAAATATGTATCCGTTATGTAGAATCGACTCAAACGAATACAAATCGCCAGTAAGCAAGCCGCTCGAGAAGTATATCAGTACAATAAAGTAAACCACTATATAAATTACATGCAAAAGTTATACAACATAAATTATAATCTATATATATGTCCGATGGTGTTGTGATGATCTGCCGCTCGTTACACAGATGGATGTAACAAGATAAGTAAGTGGCATGAGACTGTCTGCAACGATCAGCAACAGCTCTGCCCATTTCACCCAAAAACCACATCAAGGATTCGAAATCGCCCTTACGAAGAAAGGGGATGGAGTGACCGTTCTAGGACTCACAAAACTCATTTAGCAATTGTATCCGGCCGTACCGCGTTCAGCATATTTGAATTCGAATTACGGATTCAAATTCGCCTTGGGCCTCGCACGCTTCGGTTTGTTACCCATCTTCTGCTCGCCTGCAACGACTTCTCCCACCTTATCTACCCTCCTTCCTTCCCCACCAGGTTGGCCAGATTTAGGGGCGTTGAAAGTCATCGAAGCCTTAGGTTTCTGACCCAGCTTCTTTGCACCCCTCGGTCTATTGCCGGCTCCCTTTCGAGAGCCAACAGGCCCGGCAACAGGTGGACCGGGTTGAGCTTGGGTCTCACGTCGTATGCGTTCCTCCTCAGCAGCCCACCACTGCATGAACTCCATCTCTTCACGTATCGCCAGTTCTTCTGCAGCCCGTGCCTGCTCTTCACGTTGTATCTCAAGTAGACTCGTCTTTGGTCGAGAAGAGCCCCCTTTTTGATCTTCCTGCTGCTGCTGGATGGCTAGGAAGGACGGAGGTGAGGTAGATGAAGTTGTGCCCGCGGGTTTCGCCTGCTTTGGCTCTGGAGTGGGTTCTGGTAAGGTCGCCCAAGCCTTAGCCGTTCCCTCTCTGTACCGAAATTTGTTAACATCACTTCATATTGGAGGCTAGAGTAAACGAGACTTACGAAACTTTCCGAATCATGGGGGTCGCGCTGACAGGCAAAGCCTGGCGTGTAGGTGTGAAAGTCGGGCCTAAGGGAGCCTTGCCTTTACCGAGCATAGCAAGTCCAACTTGAGGAGCATTGGAAGGTGTCTGTGCCACTGGTGGTCTGGCCCCCGAAACCTGGTGTTCCCGGAGATCGCGAGTCAAACCTGAAGGTGCAGGGCTGGTCTGCAATTCTAGTGGTTTCCGGGCAAGCGTTGGACTACCCGGCATAGCTGACGGCCCACTACCCGCAACAGGTTCGGCTTTGGGTATCCTCCATGGAGAACTTGGACCCGCCCTTGGCTGCGAAGATTGGGCTGTATCGGATTTCTGAGGCGTACGATGCGCCGATGAGGACGGTCCTGCACTCGGTGCGTCGAAACCAATGATACGGGGTTGTCCCGGCGGAGTCGTCGAAGCTGGCACCGTCTTTTGGCCCTCTGCCTCCGCCATGATGGTTCTGAGATCCGGTTTACTAATAGATTATCAGCGATTTGTGCCGTAAAAATGTGTATGAAATTACTGACCTCGAGGCAACACGAGATTTCCACGGACTATACGTCCCCGAAGCAGGAGCCTGCGGACCTCTCGCAGGACCAACGTTCGGACTCCCCTGCGCGGCAGGTAGGCTAATAGGTGGTATCTCGTCCCGTACATCATCCATGATAAAAATGTCGTCGGACACTTCTGCGGGCGCATCACGAATAGGTGCAGACAGAGGCGTCGTCCCAAGTCGGTGTTCAATGGGTGGGCTGTACGAACTGGACAGCGGCTCCCCGGATGGCCTTCGAATCCGTCTTGTTGTCGAACCAGTCGCTAATGGTGACAATTTAGGTGAATGGCGAATTGCTCCCGGAGTCGTTCTCCGCCCAGGAATAATAGGTTGCGGAATATCCTGTAACACAAGCCAGTCTTTCCAAGCTTCCAAAGCTTTCTCGACCACTTTTCCTGTGCGCGACATGGGTGACTTCTCAGCTTGAAGATCACGAACAAACAATGAGAGTTGACGAATTAGCTGTTCCGAAAGATCATCGAGCATTCGGCTTTCTAACAAGGTCTCGATGTTACGCGAGAGGTAGCCTTGTATGCTCTTGACCAGTTGATCCGCGAAGAAATGTGAAGCTTCCGATAGTATCGAGCATGCATTGTTAATGTTAAGGAAATGAAGGATGACAGACGAGCAAATGAGAATAAGACGATCCAAAAGAAGCTCGCCCTGGTTGTCATGTATATGTAAGTGCACGGAGGCAGATTCTAAAAAATAATAACATACTGCGATATCTATGACTTCAAACATAAACTCGACTACATCATCGGCCGTGTCTGCGAAATCTATATCCAAATCAGCATAGTCCGTATGAGCGTATTAGAATTAGAGTTACCTAGTACGTCAAATATCTCTTCATTTCCACCAGCATAAATGTACCCTACTACGAAGTCCATGGAGCGCCGACCCACATGCCTCAAGTTGACCGCCAGCGCATTGTTCGGCCGTCGACGCTTTATAGTCCAATCCGGATCATCGAAGAAATCCGCGAAGAACGGGGATCGCGCCCGTAAGATCATAGAATGGCAATACATATGTGCATCCGCCAGCTCCAAGATGGTATCCGGAGCGACAGGATGCGCTCCTGAAGAATCATAATTCCAAGATGCCTCGTTTTGCGCACTATCGAGTAACGCTCTCAAATCAGCGGCCAGCCGTTCGGCTGGTGGACGCTTCACAGGAGCGCTCAGTGAATCAGCAAGAGCAGGGAGATGAAGTAGCGTTGCAAGTTTCTGGAGTTCATTCCGAATATCAGTCGCTGTTAACTTTCCCATGCATTCCACAAACTTGTCACTGATCGCTAAGAAAACTCGCCGGTCCCAGATAGCAGGTATATCGTCAGTATAAAGATAAACCGCGAGCATCAGCGCAGAAAGAGGATGTGTTCCTAAGAGCCGTAGAACCGGTTGAGAAGAACCAGTTTGACTTTTAGCTAGTTGCAATCGAGTCCTCCCATCAGAATCCTTGACAACCTGACCTAGAAGTGCACCTTTCATGACTCGCGAGCGTGCAGAAAAGATAACGCGATGAACGGGAAATTCGAATCCAGAGTCGACCTTGATGAAAAGATCTGCACCATGTCCCAGGTTTGCACCTTCGAAGATTCCATTCCCTTCTACCCTTCGTGCTAGTGCATCACGTTTGATCAACTCAAGCAACCGCATGAGCACTTTGATGTCCCGCTTGATAGGCGCTTCCTCCGTGTCGTCGTCGACTTCCGTACTAGCATCGTCGGATGCTGATTGCGGAGGTTCCGTATGTCCTCCAGATGATGGTGGAGTTGCTACATCTGAGCTGTAACCCACTTGCCTCTCATGTTCTCCGAAGGACGAGAAATACGGTTGAACCCTATCCATATCTTCGGCAACCGAGTTACCTCTTAGATATATCGGAGTAGGTGAACATTCTGCCTTCAGCACAGCAAAGGCGCCGGCGCTACTTGCAGCAACAGCCACTGCTCTTTGAAGAAACGGTACACGAGTGAACTTTGATGTTTTATTCGTGCGGCCACGAGTATAGACGTGTCCGGACTCGGTGCATAACACGATAGTACCATCTGACCCCAATGCGACATCCTAAACACCAAAGTGAGATTTTGAAACGCGAATCATAGTTGAATAACACTTGCCTTAACAGCGGTGAACTGTTTCCGAAGCGCCCAAATACGTCTCACATTCACGCCTGTATTCTTTCCAGGTGATGGTCCTGTGTCTGCAGCTGGAGTAGAGGGTGGAGGATTGAGGTTGAAGGTAAACACTTCGCCGTTTGATGACAGCGCAGCAAAAGTAGTGTCACAGCTGACGACCTTCGCAATACTAGCGTTGTTCTGACTCATTGGCGGCCTATACACCTGGATCTCCGAAGGAAAACTCTGCGTCGGAAAGCTAAGTTTATTAGGTAAGCAAAACAAAACCAGGTTAGTAAATAAATAAATAGCACGTACTTGATCTTGAAGGTGCGTCCGTTATGGAAGCAATGAGCATCGTGATTTGCTAGCAGGACTGCCATCGCACCATCCGATAGTGCAACATCGACAACGGGAAGTGTAATCTGAGTTACGCGCCTCGGGAGGACCTGAACGGGCGTCCCGGTGCGATCATATCCAAGCTGACCTCCGTTGGTTCCCCAAGTAAAGAGTTCGTTGTGCGTCCAACAGGCGGAGGCGGTCCGACATGCAGCAATGCCAATGACGTGTTCCTTCTTCAGCGGACCGACTATGCGCCGTGGAGCGGTTTGCATGGTCTGACTGGCATCAAGAGCGTACCCCAATTGGGAAAAGCGAGCTAGACCCCAGCTGAGGACCCCACCAGTCTTTGTCAACGCAAGAGTATGATCCTGGCCAAGAGCAACATCAACGATCTGTGCCTCAGAAGACAGCTCTTTCAGAGGTGCGAGTGCATATTGGATGTATTGTGCACTCCCGAACCCAAGTCGGCCACCACTTCCAAAACCGCATATACGGAGGTTTGCACGAAATTCTGAAGTGACAACTGCGGTATGCAATTTAGCCATATCAATACGTTCGGCCCGAATTGGCTGAAACCGCTCCTTTATCGAGAGCTTCTGGGGTTCAGCATGTTCTCTTTGTGGTGGAATGGGAACCAACTCCGGAAAGGTGCGATCGTCACCATCAACGACGCCAAGTGCGGCATTCCTGTTCGTCCCCCAAGTGTACAGATCAGTGGCTTCTGTGCTGCTCGGCTTTGTACCCTCAACGCTCGAATTGTAAACGTCAAATGCAGTATATCCTTCGTAATCCTTAAGTGACACGTCAATATCGCCGCGCTGAAGTAGAAGCACGCTGAGGGGGAAGAGCCAGATAAGCAACACTTCGCGCCTTGAAACGAACCGGTACTCACGACGCTGGAAGGTTTCCCGCATATAGCGCTCTATGAAGCGGTGTCCAGTGGCTTTCCCGATCTGCGATATTGACATCGATCTTGGGATGAGTGAGGAGAAGCTTGACAAACTCGAATGCCGCCGGGTCGAGCGAAGACACCGCGAGATGGAGGACGGTGCGTCCGAGCCAATCTCGCGCGTTGACGTCACACACGTTTGCTAGGTTTCCAGCAGCAGCTGATAACGGACTGGGTTTATTCCATGAACGACCTCCACTTGAGCTCAGGGCGGGTCCTTGGTTGGTCTGCGCGCTGGCGGCAGCACGGGAGGCATCAAGCAGGCGCTGGAAGGCCTGCTGGTTTCTGAGAGTAAAGTGGACATGGAGCGTAGTCATGCACAGATTAGCCCGCAACTAATCCTGCGACGGCGTAGGGCACAGTCGAAGCCCCTGGCGGTCGCTGGACGTCTGCGGTTGAAGAGAGTGCCTACTCGCGGAACCGAGTCGGGCACTGACAGATAAGCAATTTGTGAAGTCGTGGGATGGGTGGCGACTCCACTAAATTCAGGATAATAAAGTAGAGCTATAGTACGGGTGTCGCGGATGTGTAAAGAATAAGTTAAGTAGGCGGCTGTGGTGGAGGAAGGGAGAAGAGCGTAGATTGCTGCATTAATGACAAGTCCTCTCCATTGCCGCTGTGCTCGTGACTCGAACTGGGATGATGACGCACGTGCAAACGTGTGCTCCATTTATAGATAGATAGATATCAATGCTGATCATTGACTTGACAGAGATAGACGCATGTTTGCTACTTGGATTACTAGCTCCGTCATTGCACTTCGCCGCCTAGTATCAGGGATGCCTTATCGCCCAGATCTACCAGTCCCTCTCAATGAGCACGCCGAGCACCAAATCTTCTTTGAAGCAGCACATCACCTCCGTGACTCACCAGCATCCTTACCGGTACCGAATTCCACGCATTCGTTCTGGCTGCATCCTTCCAAAGAAGTAAATCCACTCGCAAAGGAGGGAAGTGAAGGTCCAATCACATCTGATGCGGACATTTGCATAATCGGCTCTGGCATCACCGGAGTATCCGCGGCTTACCATTTGTCTAAATCTGCTCCTGAGAAGAAAGTAGTAATTCTCGAGGCGCGAGATTTTTGTAAGTAATTTCGTCCAAGATAAGCAACACCAAATGTCAGGGAAATTTAAACATAAACTTCGTTAGGCTCCGGAGCTACAGGAAGAAATGGCGGACACCTTACCCCAGCTACCTTCCTAGACTTCGCCCGTCTTGCAAAAGAAATGGGCGTCGAAGAAGCAAAGAAACAATTTGCACTCGAAGATCACTCCGCAGACTCACTAGTCGAAATAATCAAAGCAAACAGACTAGAAGACATAGTCGACCTCGTCTCAGGCGGACATATCCAACTTTGTTTTACTGACGAAGAACTCGAGGGTGTGCGCGTTGACTATGAACGTGCAAAAGAGTCAGGTTTGGACGTTAGTACAGTTACGTTTCTCACAAAAGAGGAAGTACATGAAGTGAGTGGGACAACTTTGATTATGAGTTAGCTTAATCAATATCTACGACTAGAAATTCGGTGCGTCCTACCCAGCGACGCGAAGTCCAGCACACAACGTCTGGCCACTCAAAGTCGTCACTCAGCTCTTCCATCTCGCCAAAGCAGGATTTTCCTCCTCATCCGGTTCACTATCTCTCTTCACCTCCGCACCAGTCACCTCAATCTCTCCTTCCAACTCAAAAAACAATTCAGAGCGGCGATGGACACTATCGACTCCACGCGGGTCCATAAGTTGCACAACCGTCCTACACGCAACAAACGGCTACGCCTCCCATCTCCTCCCCTTCCTCGCCGGCCCAAAGGGCATCGTCCCCACCCGAGGCCAACTCATCGCAACCCGCGCCACCGTCCCCATCTCAGACGAAGAACGCGCCTCCTGGGGCGGGAACTCCCACTACGAATATTGGTTCCCACGTCCACCCAAATCCAACCACGACAAAGCGCATCCGTTAATCATTTTAGGAGGCGGACGCGAAGCGATAGGTGGATACGAAATTGGTACGACGGATGATAGTACTGTGAATCCGAAAGTGGGGAAGATATTGAGAGAGTTCTTGCCTGCTGTTTTCCCTGGGAAGTACGAGAAGGGGAATGAGCCCGAGAGGGAGTGGGTGCGTATATGCGTGCGCATTCACTGTTGCAGCCGTATTCATATTCTTTCTATCCATTTCTAGACTGGAATTATGGGGTTCACATCTCTGCGCGACCCTTTCGTAAGTATATCTCCTTCATAGAACAGTACTTTTATGCTAAACGAGGCATTACAGGTTGGGCCAGTCTTCACCCCAGACGGCTCTGAGCTCAAAGGCCAATACATCTCAGCAGGGTACACAGGGCACGGTATGCCACGTACTTTCGCCTGGTGCGTTTCTCCTCCATCCAACCATCAATTAAATAACCTCAAATGCACACCATTTTCATTTCTGTTTTCATGCAAAAATTTACACACTCACCACGACTCGCGCCATCGCGTCGGTCTGATCGCCGATCACTGAAACGCACCGACCTAATTGGATTCTGATGCGCCCTGCTCCGTCATATGTAAACATAAACATCCGAACATACACATACACCCATACATACAACGCACACATCCTGCCATTCGCATGAATAGTGCGGAAGCCGTCACCGCTCTCATACTACACGACCTCTCCGATACACCACGCGACAACTGGACTGTGCCCGAGTGGCTACCGAAGCGGTATCTTACGTGGACTCGGAAGTTGGCGTGATGACATCGACAAAGGAGAATGGAATTTGGAATAATAACTGCGGTTAAAAGTGGGTTTGTAGAAAAAGAATGGACGGAGGAAAGAACGTTGGGGATTTGAACGCATTTAACGGAGATTGACATAAAAACTCAGTAAAAAGTTCAGGAATGTGAACATTTAGTGGATAATATACATGTATACTACGACGCGAGAAATTTATTTCTGACGGAGAGGCAAAGCATAAGAGAAGAGGAAATCCGGGAAATTGACAGAACTACATCTGCTATCGCCTCGCACCACCGCGTCGGCGTCCGCGCATCCCAGACACTCTTCCTCCACCCCTGGTAGTCGACCGTGCTCGCTTCGGAGTTGAGGTAGAGACAGACGTTGGCGGAGATTCTATGGCCGAAGCATTGCCGCTAAATCCTGATCCCGAGTCATAGGCAGAAGTTGTGTCAGAACCTAGCCAATTGAAGACCTGCCGATTCGTAGGTTCTGTAAGTCTTAATGCAGGTACGGGAGAGCTAGAGCGCGGTGGGAGTTCTCTCGGACTGGCACCATCCAAGGAGATTCTCTTCCTACTGTCCTGTGTAGTATCATCGGTAAAGATCTCTTGAAGAGGTCGTTTATGAAGGATTCGCGAAGGCGCTGTACTCGAGCCAGTCGCTGAGGTGATGTGACTAGCCTCAGAAGACATAGAGACGGGTACAATCAATGTCCCTGTTTGTGTCGGAACGGAATCAAGTGCTACAGCATCCGTGCGAACAACGGTGGGTGGAGCCTGCTCGTCTGTCAAGGTCATCTGTGCCAGGGATGGAGTTCCCGTCGATGATCCTCCTCCGACTGCACCAATTGGGTCGGAGTCTCTATCGGAGACGGGACCGGAAATCGACGTTGATACAGAGGGAGTTGATGACTGAGCGAATGTTGAAGTCTTCATTTCTCCCGCTGCTTCTTCCAAAGTAACCGAGCTCCGTGAGCGCTTGTGCATGGCTACGTTATCTGGACGACTCGTACAAAAGTCGTCGGGAATAAGTCGTTCGAGGGAAAATTTAAGATAATCCTCTGGGATAGGTGTATTTTCCCAAGTCTCGCCTCGCCCGAGTGCTTCTTCTAACGCTCGATCAGCGGCATCAAGCCGTCTGCACGCTTTAGCAAATTCTGGGACTTCACGCAAGTCAGACATTGATGGAAGCTCCTCCGGTGGTGGAGCTTTGAACTTGGTAACTCCTCTTGGTGGAACGTAACCGTATTGACCTAAAGCGTAATAAGCGGCACCTTGGAACTCTTTCCGAGCTTCGCTGTAATCGTATTCGAGATGTCGCGGGCCCCAAGGACGAATATCAAAGCGACGTAAAGAATGTCGCGATGTGAGAGGAATCCAACCAGACGGAATTGGCGTTGAAGCCCGGGTATCCGTAATTGGAGAATTTGCACGAGTGGCTGAGCGTGACTGCGATGATTGTCTGTATTTACTATGTAGCCGTACTTTTCCAAGAGGAGAGCTTGACCGGGAAGTCGGAGGCGTCGAGCGAGCGACATTTGTACCGACAACCGTGCTGATAATGTGTCGCATCGACGATGGTCCACTGTATGCGATTGGGATAGAAGATTGATCCTTTTTCTGTTCGGGCAAGGCACTCTCGCCACTGCGACTACCAGGCTTGTCGAATAGCAAGGAATCAGTAGATTTGAGGCGTTCTTGATGAGCAGAAAGAGATTTAGAGCTAGATTGATCCATTTTCGAAGAACTGGAAGAGAGAGATCGTGAAGCTCTATTTGCTGCTGCTTCACGAAGATGTGAATCCGAAGTAGACCGGTGAAGCGGGATAGAGAAAGAAAACTCCTCGATAGGTGTATCTAATCTCTTTTGTACACTTTCCGCATGTCCTTTAATCCATACTTACATGGAATAAATATAAGAAACTGTATGCTTATATATTATCATCGAAAATACCTACCCTTTCTAAATCGCGGTGGGATGTCTTCATATTTTGTTGAAGAATGAGGCATGGGTGGCGTTTCTGAAGACATCTTCGTATTGTTTCTTGGGCTCGTCAGCGATGGTATACTTTGCACCGCAAAGAAACAAGCGCTTCTTTGCTTGCTTGTCAAGAGATAATTATGAATCCGTGGAAGAGCAAGCGGGAGACGGGAAAGATGCAAAGATCCAAGAGGCTCCTTCCAATTCCGGATGTCAGAAGATCATTCCCACGTCTTCGGCACATGTTAAATTAATAAACTCGTCTTAGGTTGACAAAATAATTCCTTGCGGATTAGAATGTGCAGGCGAATGCAATTGACGGCTGGGATCATATTATAGTTGGGAGAGACGACATCATATTATGAGCAAAGTTTCAAAAATAACATTGATATTTAGTGCTTCAAGAAATAACAACGCGTTGCCAAATAATAATACTGTACCCATCTGTATGGGTACAACCAGCCGGAGTGCGTTACCGGTGAAAATTGGAAACCAACCCATGCGTACGCGTTACAGTTGCTAACTCAGGCAACCTAGACGGATCTTGCCGGATGTTACTATACTAGATTAGCATTAGTATATAGATTCAATCTTATCTATTTTCTGAACGAAAAAGGAACATTAGACCAAATGGAGAAAATAAGGTGACCTACTACTACCTATTTCCGAGGTTGTTCATTCTGTCTTGAAGATAAAAATACCTGGAGGCCGTAGTCAACAATACTGTACACTCGCTAATAACGTTAAGGCATTGAGTAGTACTTCTGGACTTATTCCAAGTGCTCAGGAAGAGGATATATATGCTTACAATGACGAGGGAATACTATGGGGGGAGGATGGAGTTGGTTTGCCTACAATCCAGTAATCTTTTCAAGTTTTCTTACGCTTGTAGTACTATACTTGATTACACTTGAATTGTCTTACATAATCTAATACTCGCTTAAAAAATGTAACGCTCCTTAAGGGAAAGCAACTACTTCTATGCGTTACACGTTACTCCTAGCAACCAAACCACCCCTGCGTTACACGTTACGGTTGTACCCATACAGATGGGTACAGTATGGCAAATATAAGTACATATACTGCAGACCGGCTTAGAATTTCGCTGACACACGAGAGTATGCTCGTCATTTCCGGTGCAAACATTAATGTGAGTCTTCCTGACCACTTGTCATGACACATCCCCACGATTGTTTTATCACTGAACAGTTAACCATCATCCGACCCGATACCACGATTCGTGAGTGCTGTATAAGTTCAACTTCACAGGTGACAGAGTTCAAACCTTATTTTTCCTAGTGGTAAAAATTATATGATAGTCGCTAGTTGGCGACGTTCAAGCTAGTCTATTAGACGCTAACAATGATGTATAAATACTTCCTGCAAATGTGTGCACGGGATGGTTCTCCGATTTTACGCATTTATGAGAGAGTTTCAGCGATTATATTCGAGAGTTAGTGCGCATGAATTAAATTTGTTCATTTCGATGGTCCTATACACCTAAACATAATGGGACAATTACGGTCGATACTGTTTTCTAATGCACTTTCTTACATAAGTAGAGATCATGATGGACCGCTCGGCATGCAGCCTTGCATTGAATTCAATCAAGCTTCTATTTCACACGACTTAACATGAGGCAAGGGTGGGTAGAGAGGAAGCAGTGCAGCTTGACTGTTGACAATCACCACCTCGACCATCCTCCCAGCATGAGTGGTAAGCTCAACTTATGGGGTACATATCGGATGCTAGCAGTCTCTACATAGAACGATCTTGACATAATCTACAGTGCTTGGTGTCGGTGATGTACAGTGGGATCGTCCCCTTCGAAGCAAAGGTGTTTGTGTGGAAGTGCGGCTCGGTGACACTGTCAAGAAAACACGCATAGTCAAGAGCAGAACGTACGACTTGCATGAGATATTGACATTGTTAGTGCTTCTCCACTATATCTCACTTTTCGGCTGCTCATACTTTGCGCATAGTCAGCGCACCGAATCCACGGATTTTTCAATTGCAGTGATACACGAGTCAAAGATTGGACTTCCGGACGTAGTACTTGGCTTCTTAAACATTCGTGTTGATGAGCTCTCTAGCAGATGTGCAAGGGGCCCAAGTAAGCAGTTATTTTTTCTCTGTATGAAGAGAGATTACTCACCATTTGCTTTGACAAAGTTTCTCTGTCCATGAAATCGCAGAATTTGAAGAATCAGAAAAGGTTAAATCTAACCGTCCATCTGCTTCCTGATCAGATTACACCATTGCATATTAAAAGTAGCTTCAGTCATGCAGCTCAATCAGGACACCAAGTAGGAAATGAAGGCCTGAATGTGGCTGATGATATTGGGCCTCTTCTAAGTGGGGAAAGTGGTTTATTCAAGTCTATAGCAGCGCTCTTCTTGAAGGTCGATATAGTGGTCAAGATAGTTGATGAATTATCTAAGGTGGATTTTCAAGATCATATGTGTGTGATTAAACGTTCCTCATTGATAGCAAGGTCCATTTCCGTTTCTAAATCTTGCATGGCAAATCACGTCAAGTCTGTACAAGGTATTCAAGATCAATTGGTTTTATATCCAGTATAGACATTAACGTGTCTTTCTTAATAGATCGTTGCACACCAGCTCGAGACTGATCAAGAATTCGTCAATCTTGTCCGTGTAATGGAGGAGGCGTATGACTTTGTCACCGATGCTGAGACATTGCCCGACAAATCAGAGAGCTTCAAGTCAACAATTAACGAGCTTCTACAGCAGACAATAGAGTGCTGCTATTTCATTCAGCACTATGCAAATCGTAATTTTCTTGGTGAGTGTAATTGCAATAATCTTAGTTATGAGAAACTGACCCGCCAGAAAGAATGGATACCTCAGATGAGCCGTGATAAAGTCAGAAAATTCACCAATCGCTTCGTTGAGCTTAAGAAGAATCTAGACTCCAACACCGCTCTACACACCGCATTTGTTTCTGCACGGATATTAGAGAAGGTCAACGAAATGTGTGAGTCTGAATTCCTTCCTCGATGCATTTATTTTCTCAGAATCATGTGACCAGATTTGAGGGACAAACTCATGCCGTCCAAGATGAATTCATTTGATCACCATGTCTGCTTGGAGGATACACGCTTTGAACTACTGAACCACATTGCGGATTGGCTTCTATCGGATACCAAGCAAAATATCCTATGGCTTCACGGTGTTGCGGGCTCAGGGAAAAGCACTATGGCTACAACCGTTGCGGAGTTCTGTGGCAATATCTCACGACTTGGTGCCCACTTGTTTTTCAGTAGAGTCAATGGTGCCGAAGATCAACTCACGTCCATTTTCCGAACAATTGCTTTCAAGCTAGCTTGTTTCGACTCATCAATAGCGCGGCACAGAGGATGCTGTTCGGAGGAGTGAATACGTGACCAATGCCAGAGCTGATGTCTAGTTCAGGGAGCTTCTTATGGTGCCACTCAAAGCTGCGAGAGATAAGGTGCATGGCCCGATCGTCATAATTCTTGATGCACTAGATGAGTGTGGTACGCCTGGTGCTCGAAGGAGCTTGATGGAGCTTCTCAAGGACGAGTTGGGAAAGCTACCCCCGAAATTCCAGTTTCTCATAACAAGCCGACCGGAGGACGATATGATCACAGCCCTGTCGAACAGGCCAAACGCAGTGTATGAGATTAGTTTGGACTCTGAATCGGCTAATAGCAGGCGCGACGTTCTCCGATACATTGATTACGAAATGTCGAGAATTGTCAACAAGACACAGATTGTTATTCCGAATGATTGGCTATGGTCCAAACAGATAGAAAAACTTGCAGATGCCTCCGAGGGGTTATTCATATGGGCATCGACAGCCATTAACCTCGTCGCGGAGAGCCCGAGTAAATTTCTAAACTGGATGACCTTGTGAACGCATCCAATCGACTGAAGGGCCTTGACCAGCTGTACGAATCGGTCTTGAGAAATTCTGGAGTCATTGCAATGGATGACCGCTCTTCCATAATTCGCTTCCAAGAAGTTTTGGGTCTTGCTTTACTCAGCAAAGTTCCCCTCTCAGACGCCATGATTGATGCGATTCTCGGTTTATTGCCCACCGAACCGTCGTGCGAAATTCTCTCGAAGCTCGGCAGTGTACTTGTATTCAGACGAGGCGAACCTGTTCATGTACTCCACACGTCATTTGCCGACTATCTCTTATCAACGCACTACTCTCGACCGTGCAGCAACCATACGAACCCTTCTGAATGTCCATCTGATCCATGGTCTATTGACAAGGCCTCTCAGCAATCAGCCATCGCCATGCGATGCTTTGTCGTCATGAAGGACATGCTTCATTTTAGTATGTGCGATCTCGAATCGTCTTTTGTATATAACAAAAGTGTCACCGATATTGAGGACCGTATCAACGAGAAGTTACCGCTGCATCTGCAATATGTGTGCACGTACTGGGTACAGCACCTTGTCGATGCATCGCACTCACGCGAGCTGTTGGATGAGTTGACGGCATTCGCGCGCAAGCGGTTACTTTATTGGTTTGAGGTGATAGGCCTACTAGGCCTGGTGCGTGGTATTGCGAGTCGAGCGCTTTTGGATGCCGCTGCGTGGTCTGAGGTGAGCAACGTCATGTTCGGTTATGTGCAGGCACTGATACTCGTCTAGAAATGTGATCCAGACATTTCTTCGTTCTTAAAGGATGCTACCAGACTCGCCTCTGAATTCGCCATCCCCATGACTGAAAGCACGCCGCATATCTATGTCTCTATGCTCCCACTCATGAAGGGTGAATCGGAAGTCGCTTCCCACTACTCGAAACAGACATCTCGGATGGTGGTAGTCGATCGAGTAGGGACGAAACGGCCGCCGCTGTGGTTGAAAGTATTAGAGGGGCATTCGGATAATGTTTGGTCTGTCGCATTCTCCCCTGATGGGAAATGTGTCGCGTCGGGCTCCAATGACGGGACGGTCAGAATATGGGATGTTGAGAGTGGTGAGATGGTATACGTGCTTTTCGAAGAGATCCGAGCGTTCATCACTTCCGTCGTATTCTCGCCAGACGGGCATCGCCTCGCCTCCGGATCATACGCAAAGACAGTCACAATCTGGGACTGTGAGTCGAGGGAAGTGGTCTCAGCACCATTTGAAGGACATACTGGCAGTGTGTGGAACGTTGCATTCTCACCAGACGGAACGCACGTTGCTTCAGCCTCGGAGGATGCAACAATAAGAGTATGGGACATCATGAGTGCTTCCACTGTACGTGTTCTTGAAGGTCATACAGCTGCTGTACGTTGTGTCGCCGTCTCCTCTGACGGGAAGCAAATGGTTTCGGGCTCTGAGGACAAGACAATTCGAGTCTGGGACGCGATAAACGGACAGGCCATTGGCAATCCTTTCGTAGGACACGCCGACGAAACCTTGTCTGTGGCAATCTCATCCGATGATAGACACATTGTCTCTGGCTCGAGTGACCGCACAGTGAGAATCTGGGATGCGAGGAGTGGGAAAGTCATCGCCAGCCTATTTTGGCACTCAAACACTGTTTTTTCTGTCGCATTTTCATCTGACGGAAGGCGTGTTTTGTCGGGATCCGGTGATTGCACAATTGTTGTATGGGATGTGGAGAGCGGTGACATAGTTTCTGGCCCATTCACTGGTCATGCAGATCATGTTCACTGAGCACTCTGTCGCGTTCTCCCCTGATCGATCGCGCATTGTCTCGGGATCCTCGGACAAAACTGTCAGAATATGGGACGCGTCGATCGGCAAAATTGTATCCGACTCTAATTATGTGTGTTGCGTTTTCTCCAGATGGTAGCCGAATAGCGTCAGGCGCTAATGATAAGACAGTGCGACTCTGGGACCCTCGCACTGGTGAAGCATCTTCTACGCTACTTGAGGGACATACAAAGGATGTCAATTCTATTGCTTTTCGGCGTGGTGGAAGACAAATTGCTTCTGGTTCTGAAGATAAGACCGTCATTGTCTGGGACGTAGAAAGTGCTAAGATGACATTCAAGCCGCTCAAGGGACACACGGACACTGTTTATTCAGTTGCCTTCTCTCCTGATGGTACGCGTATCGTCTCTGGCTCTTTCGACAGAACTATTATTGTCTGGAACGCTGAAAACGGAGACATGATTACTCGATCAGATCAAGTGCACGAGACTAAAATCTGGACTGTCACCTTCTCACCGGGTGGCACGCTTATCGCATCGTCGTCTGACAACAATGATGTCATCATCTGGAACGCCGAAAGCGGGAAATGTATTTCTGGACCTTTCAAGGCACCTCGAGACAGCACATATTCCTACTACGCGCCACTCACCTTCTCTCCTGACGGGAGGTGTATTGCCTCGCGCAGTTCGAACAATTATGTCATTATTCGTGACGTGCAGAGTAGCCAGATCGAGTCTGGACCGCTGAGAGGACACAGACACATAGTCATGTCTATTGTGTTTTCACCTGACGGGGCATACATAGTTTCCGGTTCATACGATCGCACGATTATTGTATGGGATGCCAGTGATGGAAACATTATTTCTGAACTATATCAAGGACACACTAGTGGTATTACTTGTATTGCCTTTTCACCAGGTGGTTCACATATCGTTTCCTGTTCATTTGACACAACAATACGTATTTGGGAGGCACCAGGCAAAGAAGCTGTTTCTTCAACGGTTGGAAGACTGCCCGATAATGCAGTTGCCTCTCATTCATCTTCACAGGACACCAATGAAGGCTTTGCAAATTGGACCCTTGCGGACAATGGATGGGTATTAGGACCACAAGGCGAGCTGCTTTTATGGCTTCCTCCCGATATTCGCCCGACTCTCTGGCGGCCACACAACACGGCCGTTTTCAGTTGTGATTTTTCTACGAAGCTGAATTTCAAGAACGTTGCATATGGTCTACATTGGCGAGAATGCTTCAATCCGGATGTATGATCTTGATTTTTGCTTTTTTTACTATTATATACATCCAATGTCTATCAAGCTTCAGCATGTGTTACCATAGTTTAGGTATTTTAGGGTTTTGAGTTGATCCTATTGGTTTGTGGGCTTCCCTCAACACTGGCGCTGCAATAAGAACAGCTCCACCAGCGTCAAAGATAGGGACACATTTAGTACAGCAGACAATGATTCCTCATAGGACAGAAGCATCCCTTGCCAATCTGCTGTTCTTGAAAGATTATATCGAATTGGGGATTAGAATGTGCAGGCGAAAGTAATTGACGACTAGGATCGTATCATAGCTGGTCAATACAACATCATATTATGAGCAAAGTTGCAAAAATGACATTGATATTCAGTGCTTCAAGATGTAACAACGCATTGCCAAACATTAGTACATATGCCATATGCCATGATACTTAATGACAACGCAACCAATCCACACAAAATACGTAGCTGGAGATTCGCGGTAATGGCAGCACATATCACCACGGGAGCGTTGCGAAGTCATATAGGCCACCTCATAAGGATAGTCGTTGGAAACAGGCCTAGAAAAGACTCTCTTGCCCGGCGACAAGGCCGCCGAAGTAGCATGTAACAGCCTTCAGCTTTCCGCCCATATATTCTTCTTCCACTTCAACAAGTTCCTCCGGTTCCCGCTGCGTGCTCACTAAGTTTGAACTTCTGGAGACACCCGCGGACGTACGTCTTAGCAAGCCCGATACCTCTTCGAGATCCACGTTGCGGGGTAGAAAGTAAGCGACATTGCCTGTTATCTGCCGTGTACAAAGGAAAAGTTCATCACCTGGAACGGGACGAATCAACTGCAGTGAGTAAAAGCTCTGGAGTACGTCTGCTTCTGTCTTTTCTTTTTGCGGGGAGTCAGTCAGGTAAGATGGCCCACCCCATGGAGGACTCAAAAAGACAACGTCTATGGATCGCTTCTCTGGAGGTCGCTTAGCATAGGTACGTGCAAAGTCCAGATAATCGGCAAGAACAAACTCGATTCTATCTTGGACGCCGTAGATGGCTGCATTATGTCGTGCTAGCGCTAACCGGGTAGGAGAGTTGTCAAGGGCAATGACTGTGACATGAAGCCCATGAGCGATTTCAATGACGAAGATACGCATCACAACTCACCGCGATGGCACGTCTTGGCGAACGCAATTGCATTTCCTCCAACACCACAGAATGCGTCCAGGATGGTGTCACATCGACATCGTTCGGCTATTTGCTCTGCAATTTTTTCAGGCGTGACGCTGTACCAGCCTTCTTCGTCTAAGAGACAGCCTCGGTCGTATAACGAGAAATATCGATTCCTTTGGGCGAAATCTTAGCTGTCATCAATTGGAAGGGACGATAATGCAGACTCGGCACTCACATTTTTGAAGATGTTCGGGGACATCTTCGACAGAAGTAAAGCGCGGAACAAGATTCGACGCGTCGTATCTTTCCTGCCCATCGTCCAACAAACGCAGTCTTCTCTTCTTGGATGGAGGCGTGGCGGGGACTGGTTGCTCGTTACCCTGTTGGACTGGGGCCGAGTTCTGCGAGTCCATACTTGATTTGAGAAAAGATGCGATGCTCGACATGTGTAAAGTTCGGTTTCTTTTCCCCATAATGATATAAAACGTATTCTATGGATGGCTTTTATTTGAGTACAAGAGTACAAAGGGCCGAAACGACGTGTCGAGTCGTGTGTAGAGTCAGAATGAAGTCAAGACGTCGCACCAACTGAAAGACCAAAGTCACCAAAGTTGCGATGAACTTATTATGTAATATTAATGTCGAGAATTCTCCTACTACCTATATTCATACCTATTTACCTCATCACAACACGACTTCTTGAGTTCTGTCCTCGATCGACAACTCCTCTACAAAGCTTCTCGTTTTCCTTCAATGTCCTCCTTGCCTAGCTATACCAAAGATTGGCCAGGAATAGTCCGCCCTGTCAATCCGAAGGATCTTGTGGACGTCCCCTACGATACTATAATCAGCACCTCGTCAATATTTTGGCAAAAAAGACCAGGCAGTGCTGTACCGAGAATGGTCGTCAGAAGCCGTTGCACGAATTGCAAACACCGAAATCTTCGGTGCACTCGCCTTGATCCGTGCAACAATTGCAGAATAAAGCGGCTCCGCTGTAGTTATCCAAAACCTCCTATGTCTATCCTTCCAACGCCGGTATACGGCTCTCCAAGCCTGATGATTGTCTCATCACCAAACAAAAATAATTTTGAACTTCTTCAGCCGGACCACCAAGAGGGCGAATATAAACCAATTGAAGCACCTTCTGAACAACGTCAAACATCGGCCCGGTGTTTGTCACTGCCAGACAACGGCTGCGAAACGCAAATGGGCAGCACTACATCTGTTTTGGAACGACATGTGCCTCTTCGACGGGAAAGGGGTTCGAATACATTGGCTCAAGTATCAGAACATAAATCTTCAAAGACAAATCGACCTACAACGACTAGTCCGTTCGTCGTAGTTTGTTTTCTTGACTTAATGACACGTAGTCTTTATTAGGAAAAGACAATGTCTTGTGGACGACTCTTGACATGGGTGCTCGGAGAACGCGTCCATTAGCAGATAAGATTCCCACACCTAGAATACCGTATATCTGGGCTGAGGTGTGTTTAATTGAAGGATAGCCTATTGCAGAAAAATGACTCAAATGCTTAGACGTACGAAGAGTTACTTGGTGCTGTGCCTTTTCTATCGACGATGAACAACGGAGTCTCTGCTGAAGTCAGTTTGTCTCCGATGATTCTCGTTGAAGATGGGCTTTGGACTGGGCTATGGACGGGATCGGACATTATTCAGTTACAAACGTGAGCTTGGATATTGCATTTCGGCTTAGCAGTGGTACAGAAACGCTTTTGACTACAGAGCTCGTCTATTCTCTTTTTCAGGGTCAAAATCTAATAGTACAATTATGCCTGAAAAGCATTCGACGACGGAATGTACCGTTTCTGCAGCTGAAAGTACAGATTGGTGTCAATTACCGCCGGGAGCGGGTGACGATGACTGTCCTAGCGACATGGAGCTCGAGTATCCGGAAGAAGAGTCAATATGTGAAACGTCACTAGTTCGGGAACCCTCCCCTGTGACTCGGTCAATCGAGAAATGTTTCCGAGAAGCTGGAATCTCTGATCTCAGTTCAGAGTATCACGATGCAAGTACTGGCGACCTCTCAAGGTCATTTCCACCCAGACTGACCGATGTGGCGGTGCAAATGTACTTACCAGCTCACATTCCTACACGTGATCCAGGAGATTCCACAAACTTCGGAAGTATTTCTTGTGCAGCGCGAATAGCACCGAATAATTCTTCCTCGTCTTCTGCGGACGATTCTTCGGAGCCATCCCTACGCGTGGTACAAAGTCGGCCCGACGAGATTGAACGCTTATACAGGGCGTACGAAGGCGGCTATCCTGTTTCTGTAATAGTAGATACAGCTTGGTCTCAGTATCCCTTTACCGTGCTTCCGAGTTGTAAGTACGTCGTGCTAGGGTTCTTTCATATTACTAGTATTGAGGTCAGTACGGGGAATAATTGCTTACATGGAATCAGACCTTACAGAATTTATTGTGTAGAATCATTCTGAGAATAGGGAGCCGATTATGGGGAAGAATGGTATACAGCGAACTTGTGGGCTCATGCAATGGACGTTCACCTTGCGATGGACTCCAGGAGGACCATTAGACTCCAATATTCCAATAGATATCGACGGACGTCCCCAATCATCTCCTCCAGTACCTTGGTGGATTTCATCGGAGTCTGATTTGGCTATTTTAGAGCCAGCGTCCCCAACCATCGAGTTGATCGAACCGTATCTTTTGAACACGAGCATATTGCATTGGGTCATTATGCGTGATACATACGAAGGTGTTGCAGATCCGTCTCAGCGTACATGGCTCTGTAAAATATGTGGTAAACTAAGCGCATCAAGTTGGATCGGGGAATATGTATGCTCTTATTGCGGACCAGAGGTAGGCTTTTCTTCATGCACTAAATTAACGACTCTATGTTCAGAAGATTTTAGAAGCTGGACGTCATGAGGTCCCGGAAGGTTGTATTTGCCCATTCGGTCTTAGACAGACAACGTTCTCTAATAGTGTGGGAACCCTGCCCACACGTTCCTGAAGGATTTGTGTCGGAAAAAAGCCATTGGAAGGACTTGCTAAGCCATTTCAGGTACACTCCTAAGCGTCCGAATCATCATAACGAGACCACCAATTCTAACGCGATCTGTTCGAACACGAAACACGGTGAAACCACGGAGGAATGTCTTGAGGAGCGACTAAAGCAACGAACTTCGGAAGGAGTAGTTGGAGAAGCGTCTAGATCAGCCGAAGATGCTTCACAGCCGGACGACGAAGCATTTGTTGTCGATCTACTATTCATAAGAAATCGCACCGAGTTAGAGAAGGATGCCGATGCTCTCTTTCTTGCTTTCCAGAAAGAAGTTCCTATGCACTTCGAAAGAATAAAGTCCAAAGTATCAGGTCAGGTCTCTTGCTTCCGTTCTTGACAATCAACATTTGAAACAGTTTATGTTTCTAGCCGGAATATTCACATTTAGTGTTAATCGACAGTCGCCGCTGCATCAGCTCTCGGAAGGACGTTCAAACTGGAGTTCAGCCCCAGCGTGCATTACTAGAGTGCGCCAAATGATGATTGAATACGCTTGCCACTTCGCCGGTTGCACTCGCGATGCAGGCGAGTCTCTCTCATACCTTTGGGTTGTCGCCTGGTTCGGAGAGAGCCCTGTGAAGGTACGTGCTCTTTGTTAGAACTCAGTCACTTCACAGACTCTTGCCTAGACCGAACTCCAAGCAAATGCCGTTGAACATCCTGTTATACTAATGTGCCTCGGTGCTGATTTGAATATTGTATTCGCAAAACTCGGGCAAAAAGACATTCAAAAGCAGGCCTCAAAATCCAAAGTTAAAATTCCTAAGGTAACAAAGGATGATGTAGATGTAGAAATGGTTATAGAAGATGAATCGATTAGAATGGCCAATTCTGGTGCTCACGCGGGGGTCTGGTGTGACGGGGAAGGAAAGGAAAGGAGCAAGGGATTGATGGCAGCGGACCGCCTTAAAATTTCGCTGACGCATGGGAGTATACTCGTCATTTCAGGTGCAGACATTAATGTGGGTTTTGCTGATAGCTCGTCATTATACGTCCTCACAGTTGCCTCATCGTTAATTAGCTGACCATCGTCCGATCCGATATGGCAATTTGTGAGTGTGTATCCCTTCACAGTGGTCAAGACTTATTCTTCTTAGTGTTGAAATTATCTGACGGTCGCTAGTTGACAACGTTCAGGCTAGCCTATTACAGCCTGATGGTGATGTATTAATAATTGCCTGCATACAGCCGGGTTGGTCAGAAATGCGTGGACGTGATGGTTCTCTGATTCTACACGTCTATGAGAGAATCTGAGTGATTATTTTTGGAGTATTAGTGCACATAAATTAGTTTGTTCATGTCGACGGCCCTATACACCCTGCAGACAAGCATCTGTGATGAATGCCAGTACACATCTCTTAGCGATTTCTCCTGAACCCTGGTAGACAACATACTCAGAATTACGATCGAGACGATGTCGTCTCTGGTCAACGTCGTGTTCCATACACTTGCCCTATTGCCGGCATTGACCCAGTTTCATCTCCTTCCGCAAGATGCTCAGGGACCGAGGGCATACCACTCTATCATCATGGACCAGAGCTAAGTTCTTTAATTTTCATCATAAGACATCATTTCATTTGATTTTCGCATTCATATGAAACGTCTCGTTTGATCCACCAAAGACAATTTCCCTGCATACTAACAACACAAACATACGCGATCGCTCCAATGTATTTCGAACCCTACAGTAGAAAAGCTCATAAGGAATACGGTATTAAGGAATAAATGTATTGAGAAATAGAAATTGCTGTGACAAACCTCATTGTTCCCAATTATTTCCAGTCTCTTATGGAATAAATCTATAAAATAATAGGAGTTCAGTGAAACGAGTGTATTCGTTGTGAGATTTTCTACTGTACATGGTTTTCCTTTCCGTGGTTTTTACCCTTCAAAGAAGGTTTTCCCACGGAGGGTTTTAGTCCAGTAGGCCCTTCGACGTTCGTAGATGGTTCCTTATCTGTTTTTATCTGTTTTTAGTACGTTCATGTGCGCTGCTCTCGCTGTAATTATTTCAAATAGAACACTTCTTACATAAGGACTGTTCGGCATACATTGTACAGCACCTTATATTCAAATAAATCAAGCTTCCAATTCGCACGACATGGCAATGAGGTAAGGGTGGGGCGAGGGCGTACTCTAAATTGGTAGCCGTTAACGATCATCTCTTTGACCCGTTCCTCCCAGCATGAATGATACGATGAACGTATGGGGTACGTATTGCAATCGGGCATCGTCTACATAAATGTATCTTGACATGATCCACAGTGCTTGGTGCTTGTGATGTACAGTGGGATCGCCTCTTGCGTAGCAAAGGTGCTTGTGTGGAAGTGCGGCTTGGTGACGCTGTTAGAAAAACCCGTACAATTAGGAGCGGATTATACAACTGGCATGAGATATTGACATTGTTAGCATCATCCCACAAGACCTCACTTTGTTGGTTACTCATGATTTGCAAATAGTCGACGCACCAAATCCACAGAGTTTACTTTTGCATTGATACATGAGTCAAAGATTGGACTTCCAGACGTAGTTCTTGGTTCCTCAATTATTCGACTTGATGAGCTCTCTAACAGATGCGCAAAGGGTCCAAGTTGGGCAATTATCTTCTCTCTGCATGCAAAAACTTTGCTCACCATTTGTTTTAACGCAGTTTCGCTGCCCTTGGAATCGCAGAGGGTAAAGGATCACAAAAGGCAGAACCTAACTGTGCATCTGCTTCCCGATCACATTACACCACTACAAATTGAAACCAGCTTCAATTATGCTGCTCAATCTGCACCCCATGTCGGAAATAAAGGCCTGAGTGTGGCCGATGACATCACGCCTCTTCTCAGTGGAGAAAGTGATTTATTTAAGTCTATCGCGACTCTTTTCTTGAAGGTAGACATAGTAGTTAAGATAGTTGACGAATTATCTAAGGTATGTTTCGAGAACATGTGTTTGTGATTAAAAGTTGCTCATTGATAGTAAGGTCCATCCATTTCTGAATGTTGCTTGGCAAATCACATCAAGTCTATACAAGGCATTCAAATTTGATCGATTTACTACTTCTGATTGAAATTGATGTCTTTCATAATAGGTGGTTGCATATCAACTCGAGACTGATCAAGAATTCGTCAATCTTGTCCGTGTAATGGAGAAGGCATACGACTTTGTTACTGATGCTGAGATATTGCTGGACAAATCAGAGAACCTTAAGTCAACAATTAATGAGCTTCTGCAGCAGACAATAGAGTGCTGCTATTTCATTCAGCACTATGCAAATCGTAATTTTCTCGGTGAGTGTAATTGCAATAATCTTATTATGGAGAAGTTAGAACTGACGCTGTGCATAGCACGGATACCTCGGATGAGCCGTGATAAAGTCAGAAAATTCACCAATCGCTTCGTTGAGATTAAGAAGAATCTAGACTCCAACACCGCCCTGCACACCGCATTTGTTTCTGCACGGATATCAGAGAAGGTCAACGAAATGTGTGAGTCTGGATTCCTTCCTCGATGCATTTATTTTCTCAGAATCATGTGACAGATTTGAGGGACAAACTGATGCCGTCGAACATGAACTCATTTGATCACCAGTCCTGCTTCGAGGATACACGCTTTGAACTACTGAACCACATTGCGGATTGGCTTCTATCGGATACTAAGCAAAACATCCTATGGCTTCACGGTGTCGCGGGCTCAGGGAAAAGCACTATTGCTACAACCGTTGCGGAGTTCTGTGGCAATATCTCACGACTTGGTGCCCACTTGTTTTTCAGTAGAGTCAATGGTGCCGAAGATCAACTCGCGTCCATTTTCCGAACGATTGCTTTCCAACTAGCTTGTTTCGACTCATCAATAGCGCGATGTATTGAAAGTGCTGTTCAGAAGAGCGAATACGTCACCAATTCCAGAGCTGAGGTCCAGTTCAGGGAGCTTCTTATGGCGCCACTCACGGATGCGAGGGATAAGGTGCATGGTCCGATTGTCATCATTATTGACGCACTAGATGAGTGTGGCACACCCACTGCTCGAAGGAGCTTGATGAAGATTCTCAAGGGCGAATTCGGAAAGCTACCTCCAAACTTCCGATTTGTCATCACGAGCAGGCCAGAGGACGATATCACCACAGCCCTGTCGAACCGACCGAACTCAGTATACGAGATTAGTTTAGGCTCTGTGTCGGCTGATAGCAGGCGCGACGTTCTCCGATACATTGATTACGAGATGTCCAGGATTGTCAACGAGACCCAGATCGTTGTTCCGGATGACTGGCTGTGGTCCAAACAGATGGAAAGACTTGCGGATGCTTCGGAGGGGTTATTCATATGGGCATCAACGGCTATCAACCTCGTTTCGGAAAGTACCAGTAAATTTCGTAAACTGAAAGAACTTGTGAATGCATCTAATCGACTGAAGGGTCTTGACCAGCTTTACGAATCGGTGTTGAGAAATTCTGGAGTCATTGCAATGGACGATCCTTCTTCTATAGTTCGCTTCCAACAAGTGTTGGGCCTTGCTTTACTCAGCCGGGTACCACTCTCAGACATAATAATTGATGCACTTCTCGGCTTACCACCTGAGGAGCCATCATATGAAATTCTCTCAAAGCTCGGTAGTGTTCTTGTATTCAGACGAGGCGAATCTGTTCGTCTACTCCACACGTCTTTTGCCGACTACCTCCTATCCACGCACTGCTCCCAACCGTGCAGCAAGCATGGAAACTCTTTCGAATGTCTATCCGACCCATGGTTCATTGATAAGGCCTCTCAGCAATCGGCCATCGCCTTGCGATGCTTCATCGTCATGAAGGACATGCTTCATTTTAATATGTGCAACCTTGAATCGTCTTTCATATACAACAAAAATGTCACCAGGATTGAGGACCGTATCAACGAGACGTCACCGGCGCATCTGCAATATGCGTGCGCGTACTGGGCACAGCACCTCGTCGATGCATCGTACTCACACAAGCTGTTGGATGAGTTAATATCTTTCGCGCACAAGCGGCTACTGTACTGGTTTGAGGTGATTGGCCTACTTGGTCTTGTGCACAGTATTGCGAATCGGGCGCTTCTGGACGGTGCAGCTTGGTCTGAGGTGAGCAACATCGAGTTCAATTCAATTCAGGCACTGATTCTCGTCTAGAAGCATGATTCAGACGTTTCTTTGTTCCTGAAGGATGCTAGCAAACTCGCCTCAGCATTTGCCACACCCATGGCTGAATGCACACCGCATATCTACGTCTCCATGCTCCCACTCATGAAGGATGATTCGAAGGTGGCAGCTCATTATTCGAAACAGACATCAGCGAACGTAGAGGTTGATCGAATAGGAACGAAGCGACCGTCATTATGGTTGAAAGTGTTGGATGGACATTCGGATAGAATTCAGTCGGTCTCATTCTCGCCTGACGGGAAGCGTGTCGTGTCGGGCTCGGGTGATGGAACAGCCAGAATCTGGGGCGTCGAGAGTGGTGAGGTGCTATGCGAATTTTTTGAAGAGAACGGAGCGTACGTCACTTCCGTCACATTCTCGCCAGACGGCCAGCGCATTGTCTCTGGGTCGTGGGGCGGGACAGTCACGATCTGGGACATTGAGTCGAGGGCGGTGATCTCAGGGCCATTTGAAGGACATACTGCGGGTGTATATGCTGTCGCATTCTCACGTGATGGAACGCACGTTGCATCGGCCTCAGCAGATACAACAATAAGAGTGTGGGACGTCAAGAGCGGGTTTGCTGTTCACGTTCTTGAAGGACATACGGCTGGCATCTGTTCGATCGCCTTCTTTTCTGACGGGAAGCGAATTGTTTCGGGTTCCAGGGATATGACAATTAGAATCTGGGACACAGAAACAGAGCAGGCCATCTGCGAGCCTTTTGCCGGACACACTGACGAAGTTTGGTCTGTGGCAATCTCGCCGGATGGCAGACGCATTGTGTCTGCCTCGCGTGATCGCACAGTGAGGATCTGGGATGTGGATAGCGGGAGAGTTGTCACCGACCCATTTCAGCATTCAAACACTGTTTTCGCTGTTGCATTTTCATCTGACGGAACGCGTATTGTGTCTGGAGCTGCAGATAACACAATCGTTGTCTGGGACGCCGAGAGCGGTGACATAGTTTCTGGCCCATTTACTGGACACACAGATATTGTTTACTCTGTCGCCTTCTCCCCCGACAGGTCACGCATCGTCTCAGGATCCCACGACAAGACTGTCAGACTCTGGGACGCATCAATCGGCAAAGTTGTATCCAGCACATCTGTCAGGCACACGACAGCGGTTACGTCTGTTGCTTTCTCGCTAGATGGTAGTCGGATAGCGTCAGGTTCCTATGACAAAACGGTGAGACTCTGGGATGCTAGTACTGGAGAAGTAGCCTCTGCATCATTTGAAGGGCATGCAGATGTTGTTTTTTCTGTTGCCTTCTCACCTGATGGGAAACGAATTATCTCTGGTTCCTGGGATAAGTGTGTCATCATCTGGGACGTGCAGGATAGTAAAATGGTATTCACACCACTCCAGGGGCACACAGACTCCGTCACTTCTGTCGCCTTCTCTCCCGATGGCACTCGTGTCGTCTCTGGCTCTGATGATAAAACCATTATTATCTGGAATGCAGAGAGCGGAGACAAGGTTGCTCAATCAGAACAAGTGCACACGACTGAGATCTTCACTGTTGCCTTCTCACCGGATGGTATGCTTATTGCATCGGCGTCTCACAACAACGATGTTGTCATCTGGAATGCCGAAAGCGGGAAATGTGTTTCCCGACCTTTCAAAGCACCTCAGGACAGTACTAGTACATTTCCCAACTTCGCGCCACTGGCTTTCTCTCCTGACGAGAGATGCATTGCCTCGCGCAGTTCTGACGACGATATCATTATTCGTGATGTGCATAGCGGAAAGATCATTTTTGGACCGCTGAAAGGGCACAGCAACACAGTCACGTCCGCTGCGTTTTCACCCGCCAGTGCATATCTCGTTTCCGGTTCATTCGATCGGACAATTATTGTTTGGGACGTTAACAATGGAGATATGCTTTCTGAGCCATACCAAGGACACGCCGGTCCTGTTACTTGTGTTGCTCTTTCACCAGATGGTTTGCATACTGTTTCCTGTTCACTTGACGCAACGATACGTATTTGGGCTGTACCAGGCAAGGAAACCGTCTCCTCGATAACTGGAGAACTGCCATACAATGCAGTCACCTCAAGTTCATCCATAGAAGACATCAACGAAGGCTTTACGAGTTGGACTTTGTCTAGTGACGGGTGGGTATTAGGCGTACAAGATGAGTTACTTTTATGGCTTCCTCCCGACATTCGCCCGACTCTATGGCGGCCACAGAATACAGCCGTTTTCAGTTGTGATTTTTCTACAAAGCTGAATTTCAAGAATGTTGCATATGGTCTACATTGGCAAGAATGCTTCAATCCGAATGTATGATCCTGATTTTTGCTTTATTTACTGTTATGCACATCTAATGTTGTTATCAAGCTTTAGCATGTGTAATCATAGTTTAGTTCTTTTAGAGTTTACAGTTGATCCTATTAGTTCATAGGCTGTACTCAACACTTGTGCTGTAATAAGAACAGTTCTATTAGTGTCAAAGATAGGGACACATTTAGTACAGCAGACAATTGCTCAGAGAACTTTTACTCAAGCTTATGTGTTTAGAAGCAGACTTGACTTTTTTAAACTCAACTCAGTTTGACAAAGATTTATACTTTTTGCAGAATTCAAAGATATATTAGAGTACATTGTTACTAGGATTATAATTGAGTTGAATTGTATGACAACATGTTTCTATCTAGTAAAATCATTTTTTTTAATTATTCAGTAGCTTAGAATATACAAATTCTCAGTTAACATAATACAAGATTGAGATAGTCACACAAGGCAGAATCATGTTCTGCATAGACCAGAATTTTAGTTAGAATGTGAAAGTAGCCAATCAGAGCAACTTTATTACATTCTGATAAACATTCTGAGTACTTTCAAAAGTTGATTTTGCCTTGTGTGAGTGTAACACTGGGAGAAGTGGCTAAAGGATTTATATTCTAATACTATCACCTAAAGCCAGACTGAAAATAGAAATAGTTACTATAATAAGTAATCCTACATTTATCCTACAAAATCCTTAATACAGAACTTAACAATATCTTGTTATATTAATGTAACTATAGGCTTCAATTGTTATAGTATCTTGTAAAAATGTTCCTGACTTTTCTTTTTTAAGGATTTGGTTATGTACTATGACTCACCACTCAAAGGACTTAAAAAGACAATTTTAAGACAGTATTTCTTTAAAGGTTACTTAGTATAAGGGCAGGAAAAGTCTAGGTGATTTGTAAGGGCAAACTCGATTCTGACACTGTTGATAGTTGTGTCATACTGTACTAATACTAATCAGGTAAGAGGATTGCCAAGAACAATGACTGAGGTATGAAATCTAAGTATAATTTTAAAAACAATTAAGAATAAAAAAATAGAGTATACACTATAGCTCACTGTAAGAGTATAATAATGTGTAAATGTGCACTTGCACACAGCTCTGTCAATCAGAGATTCATGAAGATTAAGGTTTCCTGATTCCACACTTTCATTATTATTATACAAATTTGAGATTTATTTTCTTTAACATACACATAAAAAATCAAGTATTCATGTTGGTGACTCTGTACTATAGTTGCTGATGTCCGGTCCCAGACCGCTCGGACTCGGTCCGGACACAGGACTGGACTGATGGACCAGTCCTCTACAGTCCGGTCCTCATGGGTCCAGGAGAGGTCCGGTCCTGGGTCCATCATTTTGAGAAATTTCCCGGACTGATGGACTCGTCCGGACCCGGACTGGACTCTGGACCTGAATAACCTGAACTAATGTCTCAAATCTCGTTTCCCATATCTCTAGCTCACTATACTAAAACAGATCATACTCCTTTAAGGATCTTTGAATATTAGCTAGCACTTGCATAGTACATTTTACAAGTTTCTGGCAGTCCAAGCAAAGCAAAACTTTACTCCTGTTCTTTACTGTTCAATGTATGGCTTACTAAACTTGACTCTTCCTATCTGGTTATTGTCTCCTGAAATATTTATTCCCTTTATGTATATTCACTCCTCTCCTGTCCTATGCCAAAGACGCCACAGTCCCAGCCGCCCTCCCCAGTCAAGCAGCCAGCCAATGCCCCTGCCCCTGACAAATTAGACAAGATGTCTGAAATCACTCTCAGAAAGAAGAAGAACGCTGACGCTCAGGCTGCTTTCCGTGCACGCCGTGCTAACTATATTGCCACCCTCGAAGAGACAGGTCTGTCTGCTGCTAAGTACCTAAATATTCATGTTCTGACAACTAAGTGTCCGTAAATCGCAGTAACCAGCTTAGAGGCAGTTGTAGTCCAGCTTCAGGACTCGTGTCGCGAGGCTCGCGCCAAAGCCTCAGAATTGCGTCAGGAAAACCACTACAGTGTCTAGTCTGTAGATTATGTAGTATATACAAAAATATATTACTTTTGTACTTAGATACAAAGAATAATACTCTAACTCATCTCTTAAATTTTTTTTCTCTCAGGTCCGGTTATGGACCGGTCCAGAACCGGACTGGAACTTGGGTCCGGTCCACTACCCGTCCACATAGGTCCGGTCCCCAGTCCGGGACACTCCCGGACCGCAGATTTGGTCCGGTCCTGAGTCCAGGTGAAGTATGCCCGGACCGGACCAGGACCGGACTTCAGCAACTATACTCTGTACACCCTTGCAATGATTAGTCAAGAATCTGTAATGAACTTCAACAGATACGCTTCCTCTATCAATTTTTCTTTGTTGATTCACTCAGAGTTATGGTCAGGTTATAATAATGGCATAAGTAGTACTGTTGTAGTTGAGTTGCACATGCTTTCTTACATGGGAATCATGATACAGCCCTGCCAATGCCGTAGTTGAATCCATCACCTAGTCAAATATTTACAGTAAGTGGGTTGAGCTACTTATTTAACTGGTTACTTTGGAAATCGCTGTTGTTGCTCGTCCGCAGATTTCGCTGGGTTTATTATCACAGCCCTACCGTCAATAGTCTGTCTGACGTCATTGTCCAGCTGAGGTAATGTCAGTCACGTGGAAAAGAATTCACCATTTTCAGCAGCTCAACTGCGCATTTCATGATGCGAACACCTGTTACGCTGACCGTGACATTGGGCGCTTATCATGCCTCCGATGCATGGGACCTAGAATCGGACGATACTAGCGGGTACCTTGCATAGACTCGCTCCGATCCCTCCTAAACCGCGTCAACCATGGGTGCAATGGTCAACTTACGAGGTACGTCTGTCAACTCAATGCCAAATGATGTAATCCCAGCTCGGTTTAACGTCGACGTGATTATCAGTGATCCGCCTCGACTACTTACGGTGGGATGTTCCATTGCATAGAAAACAACCAAATCTCTATGCCGAAATATCTCTCGGCGGTACCCTTCAGAAGACGCGTACGATCAAGGATAAATTGCCCACTTGGAACGAGATCCTGTCATTGTGCGTGCACCGTTCATTCTGATTCGACATCAGGAACTTACCTCAACAACGCAGTCCACTAATTGATGAATCTGTGATCGTTTCGATAAGGGTCCTGCATAAATCAGCAATCCCGATTCGAGATGATGTCTGCATCGGTTCAGTCAACACTGAACTCCACGAGCTATCTGGAAGATGTATCAATGGGCCGAGTGTAACGATTGCACTCTTGTGCTGAGCGCGCGCAAGCGCGCTCCTTGCTATGAAGGTGTTGTGGGTGCTTGTAGGTGCTTTTTTCGTTATTAGTTAGCCTACTTGTATCCACTACACGTGTAACCGCATATATAAAGAGTCTTCGGGCTAAGGGTTAGGGGATTCTTTTCCCCTTCTCGACGCTCGATTACTGATTACCCCAGTCAGTGTATTGAGTGCGCTGGTAAAGAAGAGAATCTTCCTCATGTAAGGCTATTCTACATATCCTTACATATTTTTGACTGTATAAATCAATCCCCATCGATCCTGCTGGGTCGTGAGCGTTGTCTAGGGTCTGATCAACCCTTGGCATTGTCTCATTGCCTGGCGCGAAG